CAGACTACCGTATAACTACAATTTCTGATAGTTGAACTTAGTGACGACCTGTCCCTCCTTTTCGATGGCAGTTATCCTGGGGAAGAACTAGGAAGTGTCCGGAAAATCGGGGAAAGGAGTAGGAAGTTGAGAAAACCTAGGAAGATGGTAGGGAATGTAGGGGACGGGAGTCGTACCAGATGGGGAAACTCTGGTGATGGAGGACGTACTGGCATCGGTATTTCACAAGTCACGATGCTGTACCCTGAACTAAAACACTGTGCTTTGTGCACTCTCCTGCTTACCATTTTACGAGGGATACGGCAATGAAGAAGGTACTATGATATTGGACATTGCCCCGCCTATACCACGAGCGTGGAAATGGAATATACCTTCAAGTCACTTAAGCCCCTAAAGACTTTGTGTGTCATCTGATAATTGGTAGCTTTAAGAAATCTCTCATAAACTCACGTCTCTCGCGTTCGAAGAAATTTGCGCAGGTGGGGTTGAGACCGTGAGTGCCACAAACGACGAATCCGGCATAAGAACTGTAGAACGTGCGTATATAATTATCACATAGGTGCTGAAAATCTTGATTTATTCTTGAGATCCGTCAAAGCGATGCTATGTACCTCTCTGATAGAACAAAGTGACTTAAAGACACGGTCCGCGATCGCGATCAGGTACCGAAGTCTGAAGATTATGGCCGGTCCAGGCAGGTTGAGACGGTGCCTCTAACGCAGATACCGCTTTGGGTACCGGTTTACATTCATACTGGAGCCGCGCTGTACGCGCAAATATTAGCGCTGCACTGTGCTCCTCCTTTTTTCCAGTGACTCCGCCTCCGCAGACGTCCAGGGCGCCCCTAATGACCGACTTCCAGTCAAAAGTGAGACTGGCAGTGATGAACAACAGCATGATAATCCGCCACTTCACAAGTCGTTAAGTAAGTCCTTGATCCGCGGCGTGAGATCCCAGCCGTGCATCATGAGAGCCGTAACGCTCTTTGGAGGATAGGAAGACGACGTTAGATGGGCACCGTACAACACTGCGGATCCGAAATGGCGGTTCTTAAGGGGCTGAGCCGGCGCCGCCGCAGTCGGCCGTCGTTTTGTGCTTTCGTTTTTGTTCACCGAGTCGGGCTTAATCTACTCACTCCCCTTGTCATCTGTTGTGGAACCCCCAATCCACCATCTGAGATGGCGAGTAATCGCGAGTTCTTCCTTTAAAAACTGATTAGATTGGTTCCCTAGCAAACATTTATAAGAGAGCGTTCATGCTTCGCGATGTTATGTAAGCTATCAGATGTAAGCGAAATATGAACTTTTATAAGGGGGAGGTGTCAAGGAACTAGGGGAGGTAGTACAACTATATAGTCTTGTCGGACCAGTTTTTCCATACTGATTTTAGTGCTCTTTCATTTATCTGGTAGAGTTGTGTTGCGTGATAATCGGATGGGCGGAGAAGCATGTGGGCACGCTCAATCACTGTGCCTTCGTCCTTGGGGAGCCTCTTTTCCAATGTGATAAAGAGGAGAGGCTTGGGAAAATTAGAAAACCACATTGGTTGGGTGGTACCGCCCCATCAGATGTCGCGGAATATGGAATTATGACTACTTCTCTAGAAGTTTTTTCTTTTCTCCTGTCTTCTCAAGTGATATCGCACTGGGATACAAACAGAGTGATCTCTTTTTCCTAAGCCACCATTCTACCGTAGATGAGGATGGCAAACGATTCTGGAATCCAAATGTAAATTTCTTCTGGAAGTATTGTATCGGAGTAGGGTTCATTGTACCCCGATAACTAATGGCTGATCGAATAAAAAATTGATAAGTATCTGATATTCAATTTGGTAGTACGTCAAAAGTTTAAGGAGTTGTCCAGCTTTATTTATACACCGAGGATGATTTGAAAATGGTAACTTCCAATTTTTTTTCTGTCTTCTGCCAATCCATTTTTGTCCTAATTTCCTACTGGAAGAACGTTCATGATTTTGGTACCTGAAGGTGATGGACTTGCTATTTTGCTGTATTTAAGGTGGGTTAACTATTTCGTTCCCATCCTATCAGTAATGAGGTTGATGTGGTGCAAGTGGGCCGCTTTCAGCGAGCGCGATCCGGGAATTAAATCACAGATCAGCTCCCGTTCAGGTAAATCGAGCGTCCTATCCTCTGGAGACAGCGAATTGGTACTACATTTGTTAGTGAGGATAGAGAGAACCTTGACGTCCCCTGCAAGTCGTTGTATAGGCCACGTCGCATTTGCTAAGCGCTACGATTCTGGATGGAAGCGAAATGCGCGTCACGTTCCAAAAACAGGGATAAAGGAAGAACGCACTATGGTTGTGTCTCCGCCCCACCCGGTTATCGCGGAATTGCTTTATTGAGGCTTCTTCTTTAAAGTTTTCTATACTATTATTATTTTTATTGGCCCGTGAAGACTGACTTATATCTTAGAAGGAACTAATGAGCATTCCCTTCAAAAAAAGTGAAGTCATTGGTAGATCTATGAGCTCATCTAAGCTCATATTGAACAGTTTCCTGTTTTCAGTGAAAATATGATCCTGGCGAAATTGTAGGAGCTCGTCGGAAATACAGCTGCTTCTAGAATTTCAAATAAATATGAAGAGCAAAGATTATCGGAGGGACCGGTCAATTCACAATAGTTCTCCCACAGAGTACAGCATCATTCAAAGATTCCCATTATGGGGTACTCGTTTGTTGGGGAGAAAAGGGGCCGTATCCGAGCAAAATCTTTAATAAAAATTTTTATAGGTTGCGAGGCAGTTTTTCGGGGCAAAACTGGGAAATTTCTTGGGAAACTGCGAAAAGTGGTTGGAAGCTGGAAAAATCTGGAAGGTAGTGCGTTGTATAGAGAAGGCGATTTGGCGCAGTTCGGTGATGGAGGGAGGAGGGGGGCATT